ACAGAGGCATGGAGAATGGGGAAGAGAAGGTGGGGGGCCCCAGCCTCACAACATTGGCAGGATAACCAGTATGGTCACAAGGACACTGACAACAGCCCCCAGAGTGGAGGAGAGGGCGGGGAGGGGCTGCGGAGGTGGGGGTGTGTGTTCCACCTGATGATGGATCCATGCTGAGAAATAAGAGACTCGGGCATAAACTGCAGGATACATAGGGAACATGCAACCACGGCCCCAGCTCACTATTCCAATTTGCACCCAGATGTGGTTAAATTCACAGACGAGTGGACCCCCAGAGTCACCCTGGAAGAAAAGAGGAGTTTCCTGTGAACCTGGAGACAGGGCCTGCTGCTGCCTCCTGCATGAAGGTGGCCCACTGCCCACCCTGCAGGGCCAGGCCCAGAGCCCCTTCACTCTACAACCCCAGCTTGCCAGTACCAGGCCCTGCTACAGGCTAACAGGGCAAATGCCACAGGGCAACAGTTTGTGCACAGGGCAAGTGCACAGACACGTGGGCTGCTCCACTGGCACTGGAGTCTGTGGGGCACTGGGCACTGACTGGGGCCTGTGTCCCATCTGCACATAAGCTACCCTGAGGTTTCCTGCCCAGCCTATGGCTGCACAGTGATGTGCTCCCAAGCCCCACAGGGGCCAAGCCTTCAGGGACCCCCCCCCCTCACCTACTCAGTAGAAGTGTCCACGGTGGCTTAAAGCAGATGAACACGTGAAAGCCCTGGGCTTGGCTCCCTGTCCCCACAGTGGGACGCACCTCGCACATGGTCTTCAAATTCCCGGGATCCCCAGCACACATCATGTCTGGCAGAAGGTATGTGTGTCCATAGAACACCTGGCACAGGGCAAATGGGATCAGAGGCAGCTGCACCTCCTGCAGGTAGTCTGAGGTGTCACCTGTCAGAAAGAAGCCAGGCCCAGTGAGAGGTCCTCCCAAGACTGCTCCCCAGGACATGCCCACCCAACCCCGAGCCCTGGTGGGCTCACCCAGCAGCTTCTTCTCTTGCTCTTGCCCTCCACTGCTCCCCTGTCTGCACTGGGACTCAGGCTTTGGTCAATGAAGTGTGAATATAAATGGCACATGAAACTTTCTAAGAGAGGGATAAGAGCCATGACCCATTTGAGCTCATTCCTTTCCCACTGCTGCAGCTTGAGTGCAAATAGCTCCATCAGCTCAGTACCTGGTGGACTTTGGGACTGACACCATGTATACAAGAGCAGAATCCCTGAGATTTGTGAGGTGTCACCCCTGTGTCCTCTCTATGCTGAGGGATATGGTAGTTGGTCCTAGAAACCTTGAACTTTCCTACAATGTGTGAGTGGGTCCCATGGCTCCAAGCCAACCTGATGAGAAGGAGTGGGCCCCACAGGCCAAAGATCTTCTGACCAGGGTCGAAGAGGGGCTGTATTTGGGGAATCAGTTTCAGAGCTGATGGAACTGACGCATGTTTACCTTGAGGGGAAGAGACGGAAAGCAGAACATCAGCAGTGTCTGTGGTTGCTGCTGGCTGTGTTGGCAAGGTGATAGCAGGAAAAGAAGCACAGAAGAATTAGATGGTGCCCACAGGAATGCAGAGCAGTAGTGAGTCCCTGGACTCAGGGTGCCATGCTGGAAGAGGCCGCCCCACAAAATGCAGTTAGGAAACTACTCTGAATTCAACCACCAAGCCAGCTAAAAATCTGCCAGAGGCTGTCCATTGTGGCCGTGGGGGGTGAGGGAGGATGGGTAATGAGAATGGGCCTGCCCTCTCTCCATAAGCAAGAGGTAAATGTGTCCACATAGGAGGCACTCATTTTCCCACCTGACACAAGACAGGGCAGGGCTGTGGTCCCTGAGAAAAGAGGATAGGCAAGATCTGCAAGGGCCCCACCTCCTGCCTGGGGCACTTTCCAGGTGCGAAGTACAAAGAGGGGCACGGGCAGCTGGAGTTTGAAAGGTCATGCCAGGAGGAGGATGCTCCATAAAGAAAGAGCCCCAGAAGCGCTCAGGGTCCACAGTCTGCTGCTGGACCCTGAGCCAGGTCTGCAGAAGGTGCAATTCCACGAGGAGGGCAGAGAGTGGCCCAGGTTGGAGCTGGGAGGTTGAGTTCCAACCAGCCAAAAGTGGAGAGTCTCAAGGGATACCAAAGACACTGGAGGAGACAGAGTAGAGTGGGGGGAAGTAACCTCATCATGCTCACATGGATGCTAAGGCCACACAAAACCAGGCTGATAGAGGACCATAGTGATGAGCCTGGCACAAGCTGTTTCACTTTTGATAGGGCACAAAGGAATAGGTATAAGACAGACATGGATGGGAAGAAGTCAGCTGCAATTTCAGTGAGTTCTTCAATGCTGGAAGCGTGTTAGCTCAAGATAATGGGAAACCATAGGAGAGAGGTTTGCAGCCACAGGGAGTCTTTCCCTGGGTCTCCACTCCTCGTGAGAAATCCTGGGAGTAGAGCAGGGACCAGAGAGCAGGGCCCCTCAGTACAGGTGTTCAGGAGATGCCAGCTGCCACTGGGCACCCAGAAAACACAACCTGTTTCCCTTCTTGCATGGAGCAGAAGCCTTCCATCAGTGGGGACACTATACACTCCTGCACCAGGGCCTGGCACAGGCGCACTGCTCTGGAGGAAGGGTAGAAACAAGACCTGTGCCCTGAAAAGCCTCTGGGCCCAAGAACTGTACCAGTACCAGAGGTCTGCCTGTTCTACCTGCTACTGCAGGCATGGAGTCAGCTGCCACGAGGGCAAGAAGATAGAACAATTACAGACATTTACTTACCTCTGACACACCATGAAATACATGAAGTGAAACCCCGCAGAACTGAAGGGAGAAATAGACAATTCTACAATAATGGTTGGAGATGTCAGTATCTCACCCTTAATAATAGCAAGAACAACCAGACAGAAGACAAGGAGATAGAGGACTTAAACAACACAATAAACCAGCTGGATCTAACAGACATTTACAGAACACTCCACTCAACAACAACATACGCATTTTCTCCAGTGCACACGGGGCATTTTCTAGGATAGACCATATATCAGGCCACACATTAAGTCTTTTTAGATTTTAAAAGATAGGACAAAAGCTTCACAACATTGGACTTGGCAATGATTTCCTGATTATGACACCAAAAGCACAGGTAACGAAAGAATTATCCAAATTAACATCCAAAATATATGGAAAACTCTGAAAATTCAACAACCACAGAACAACTAACCTGATTCAAAATGGGCAAAGGACTTTAATAGATATTTATTCAAAGAAGCTACAAATAACCAATAAGGGTGTGAAAAGATGCTCAACATCAATCATTAGGGAAAAGCAAATAAATGCCATGAGATAGCACTTCACACCCATTAGAATGGCTACTATCAAAAAACAGAAAACAACAAGTGTTGATGAGGAGCAACTGAAATCCTGTGCACTGTTGGTGGGGATATAAAATGGTACAGCCACTGTTTTTGCAGTATGGAGGTTCCTCAAAAAACTAGAAATAGAATTACCATTTGATCCAGCAGTTCCACTTCTGAGTATATACCCAAAAGATCTGATAGCAAGGCCTTGAAGAGATATTTGCACACCCAGTTCATAGCGGTATTATTCACATAGCTAAAACATGGAAGCAAACCAAATGTCCACTGACCAGTGAATAGATTACCAGAATACGGCATACACATACTATGGAATATTAATTAGCCTTCAAAAGGAAGGAAGTTCTATAATATGTTACAAGGATGAATCTTGAAGATCTTGTGCTAAGTGCAATAAACCAGTTACAAAAAGACAAATACTGTCTGATTCCACTTATATGAGATTTTAGAGTAGTCAAAATCATAAAGACAGAAAGTGCATAATGGTGGTTGCCAGGGTTGGTGGGAAGGGAAATGGGATTTACTGTTTAATGGATATAGAGTTTCAGAATTACAAGATAACAAGAATTCTAGAGATACCTGCAACTAATATAAAATAATTCTGAATGTCAACTCTAATTAAAAAATAAAAATTAAAAAAAATAATTCTAGTGATTGTTGGTGGCGATGGCTACACAATAACGTGACTCTATTTAATACCACTGAACTGTATACTTAAAATGGTTGAGATGGTAAATTTTATGTTATGTGTATTTTAACACAATACAAAAAAAAAGCGGGAGTGGGGGAAGCTTTGTGTTGAAAAGTTCCCTCAAATGGAGGCGAGCCAGAGGATTGAGGTGGGGCGGGTCCACTAAGTAGATACGAGTTACTGTCAATGTCCCAATTTCTCGTTTGGTGTGTACATGGGTGTACATCACACTGTTACAAACAAACATAAAAAAAGGGCCATGCATGAACCAGTGACAAATGTTTTCTTCGAACCAAAAATTGGGATGACTCCAACTCTGTGCCCCTAAGGGCCAAAGAAAGAGACAGAGCAGACATGTGAAATGACACTGATCCCTGAGGAGGAGAGTGGGTGGGGTCAATTCCGGGAAGGGATGCTGGAATAAGAGCCCCTGGGAGGGCAGGTATGATCCGAACCTATGTGCGCCCTCCATCCCTGCACTCTCACAGACACCGGGGTCCAGATGGTTTTAAGATTAAACTGGGGGACAAGTATTGTTGCTAGGAGGAGAGTGGTCTCGGTTTCAGAGTAACCTAAATTTGGGCTTTGAGTCATTTGTTTCCTGAATGTAGTTAAAAATGAGACTATTGAAAATGATGTTTGAGGATTACTGAAGATTTAAAGCAACAATAATGCCCATATAATATGCGGAAGTAAAATACCGAACACTCGCATAAGGAGCTGAAGGGGAAATGGAGTTAGACTTTGTAAAGTGTGTTCATATCATATGTTAAGGGGTAAACTACCAAATCAGAGGACATAACTTCATCCATGGATCCAGTTCTCTATGGCTTCCCACATCTCTACCCTTTGCCATGTGTCTCTGTAGTCACTCCCATCGGGAGCTGGGATGGTCTCGTTTTCCCAATCCTCAGGCCTGAATTTTGCCACATGACATGCTTTGTCGGTGGGATGGATTTGAGCAGACTTGTTGCAAGCAGAGGCTTGGAAAGTGTTGTGTTCCTCCACCACTGCCGTGGACATGGCCCCTGCTGGACAATGAGAGACACGTGCATCAGAGTCTGGCGAGCCAGCTCAATCTATCACAGGCTGCTCAAACCACGTGGGCTGACGAACGAATGCCTACTACCGTACACACCTGGTTTTTATATTTCAGAGTAATGCAGTGTTACGGTGGTAATAGATAAATGACACAGAACTCGGTACCTAGAAATTGGGGGTTTCCATAAAAATAACAAAAAATATGGCATTGGTTTTAGGACCTGGTGAATAGACAAATGAAAAGAAAATGGACTGAGGAGGTTGGGAACATGGCGGCCCATGTTATGAAATGGCAAACCAGTTGCCAGTGGTAATCTGGAGGATAGAAAATGTATTTCATGAATTTGGGAAACATGGCAAGATAACTTCCAGGCAGAATTATGAAAGTGAAGCAGTTGCTTCTGGTCACGTATAAGGTATACGAAAAAGATGAACTCAGAATAAAACATGCCAATTCTTGAGCAGAGAATGGACGGTATATAAAGAAGACGGGGTCAGCAAACCTCTCATAAGGGACTGGGCTCTACAGGCTGATTCATCTCTGCAGCAGGTACGCAGTGCTGCCGCTGGAGCAGAACAGCCACAGACGATATGCACCTGCGTGAGTGTGCTCGTGTTCAAATAAAAATTGAGTTATGGATGCAGAACTTCGAGGTTTATATAATTTTCATGTTTCATGAAATCATCTTCTTTTGGTTTTCTGTCAACTATTTTAAAAATGTGAAAACCATCACAAGCTTGCAAGCAACACAGAAAGCATTGGGCGGGATGTGGCCTATGAGCCCTAGTTTGCTCGCTGATCC